TATATATATATATATATATATATATATATATTTATTTATTTATTTATTTATTTATTTATACCTACAATGTCCCTTCGTCTCTTGGTTTATTTCTTACACAACATCCTTTCTTCTCCTTCCTTCTCTCCATCTGTATAAAAATTCCATCACCACCTCCTCTACCCTCCCCTCCCCCACCCTCCATCTGGTCCCAGCCGGCACCGACCGCTGGAATGTTTACCCTGACCTCCACCCAACACTCCCGCGACCCGGACTAAGATGATTCGGTGTTTTGTCTCCGTCAGTATCGATGTGCTCTCCACACTCGGCCGTTCCCTAATGCCGGCCTGAGTTGACACTGTCCCCCATTCATTGCGCTGGGTCACCAGGTCTAAAAATAGATACTCCTTAAGTGTGAGGGAGCGCGGTTGGGAGGCGGGGGTGTAAGGAGGCAGTGAGAATGTGCACCAGAATGACCAGGAATGCTAGGCTTGATCCGTTACACTTGCAACGTGAACCACGTGAATAGTGGACGTCTCATAAAATGTTTAAAGCACAAATGTTAACAGATCTTTAAAGGGGTAGGCTGATAAAAACCACCCAATTTCTTAATTAATAAGCTTTACTTGTTTAATTTGTGTGTATCTAAGTTAGGGTACTTAACATATGTGCATGCATCAGGGACTCGTATGAAAGTATGGTTGCCATGGTAACGGCGGACCTCTTGAGAAAAAAAAACATCCTTCTCTGAGGTCCCACGTTTTAAAAAATAAAATATGTATTGATCATATAATCATTGATCCTTCTTTTACTAACTCTAATAGAGTTAATACTAGATGCTAAATTGCATGGTATTTCACCATACAAAATTTTGAAGAAGTAAAAAATTAAATAAGGTAAGTAAGATTTGTCCAAGCTACATTTAGAGATAGTCGGAAATTTGAAAAACAATTTACCAACAATATTCTAAATATTCAAGTCACACAATATAATCAATGTAAAACAGTAAAAAAAAAATACAAAAGTTCAGTTTAAAATATATATCAGAGGCGAGGAACCTGTGTGATTTTTTTTAAAAGCCTTATTAATCGTTAGTGGTGGGTTTAAATTAGTTTAATTGTTTTGTTATTTTTGTGTCCCGTATTGAGTACACCCTAAGTTGAAGTACTGAAACTAGAGAAGAACAAGGCGCATCAATATGCCCAAACGGCTGTCTTAGCTTAGAACAGTGGTTGTTAACCTAGGTTCGATCAAACCCCATGGGTTCGGTGAGTCCGTCTCAGGGGTTCGGTAGAGGTCAACACAACGACTCACGTGATTCACTATCGGATGATGGGGTTCGGTACCTCCGAAAAAGGCTTAGTTATAAGTGCCGGAATAACTTTTTTTTTGTGTGGTTGTTTTTAAGTGTACAATCAGTAGATGCACGCTATATTTCAGCAAGGTCAGGTTTTCTATTTTAAACTCTGCTGACCTTTGCCCCTATTAATTAGGCAGACGGAACTCTCCTGCTTGACAATGTCAAATAACCCGAATCTGTTTTATTATTACCTTTTGTTTAACGGATTGCATAAGTGGCCGGAAAAAAATGTCCCCCCCCCTCCCGGAAATCTATGACATGATAGATCAATTTGGCCAGGAACGAAACAGGAAAGCTAAAGTTAAAACAATATCTTGATGAGCTGTCATTCATGGTCACACATTCGCGCAAACTCACACACACACACGCACACACACACTTAGTTACATACATACATCCATACATACACATACGTATATATCTATTTATTACTGTCTTGAGTTTTTTTTTCAATCTTAGGTGGTTCTTTTTTTTTTCCTCTGACAAGGAAATACGTTAACAAATACATTTACTTTCTATTGCCCGTATCGCTGTACGTGTTGTGAGAGGGTTAGAATTAACATTAATGAGAGAGTTACGATCAATTTTAGGATTAGGGCTAGACCTAGGGTCGAGACCTACATACTACTCAATATGTTCAATGAAGGTGTTTATGCAGGTTAGGTCTAGGCAGGGTTTCTTTCAGACATTTTGCTTGCGGGTTGGGCGGGGGGGGGGGGGATTTGAAATTTACTAAAGAGGAGGCATTTGGAGAGATGCCCGAAAGAAACACTTGGGCAAAGAATTGTTGTTTTTTTTTAGTTTTAGAATTAAGGTACGGGCCAGGGTTAGGGTACGGGTGTGAAATATTTTACAGAGTTTCTTTCAGACATCTCCCGAAGAAATTCTACCGCCCCCCGAACGAAATAAAATTTATATAGAAATCTATACTTTTACCAGTATCCCAGTGTCCGCCCCCCCCCCCCCCCCACCCGGAAATTGAGTCCGCCCCACCAGCACTCCCTACCCGAAAATATAAAGTGCCCCCCCCCCCCCCCCAGGAAAGAAGTCTGAAACACTGCTAACATAGCCACCTCCAAACACTACCCAAACGATAAAACGCTGTAAAAACATTTTTGGATGATTTTTATGAAACATTATGGGACGGTGTGGTCGAATGGTAGAGCATTGGACTGCTAACCCGCCAGTATCGATATCGAATCCCGGAACCGAGTCCGTAAGACGTTCATGAGTCCACCCAGCTCTGATAGGTAGAAGACTCACGTTAAGGGAAGTAAAGTGAAGAGGGCAATAAAAATATGAACTCTACTTCATCTGCCTAATAGACCGTAGGTTCGTAAGGTTACTTTTTTTCCCTTTAATCAAACGCTGTAGTTGGCGGCCCATACTCCAGCAGGACAGAGAACTCTGGAGAGCTGTAGTTGGTGGCCCATACTCCAGCAGGACAGAGAACTCTGGAGAGCAGTAGTTGGTGACCCATACTCCAGAAGGACAGAGAACTCTGGAGAGCTGCAGTTGGCCGCCCATACTCCAGCAGGGCAGAGAACTCTGGAGAGCTGCAGTTGGTGACCCATACTCCAGCAGGACAGAGAACTCTGGAGAGCTGCAGTTGGTGGCCCATACTCCAGCAGGACAGAGAACTCTGGAGAGCTGCAGTTGGTGGCCCATACTCCAGCAGGACAGAGAACTCGGGGGAATTCAGTTAAAATGGTGTAACATCAACAAAAGCATTGAGGAACTAAAAACAAATTACGGTTCAACATAAACAATTTATTTTTCAAATCAAACGATTGCTTATAAAGTATTGTTGAATTATGCTACAAATTATGGTGAATATTAAAAATAAATCGATTTGTTAAATTAACAAAGCATTCAACAACAAATACAACATGGGTAGCCCCAATAATTTACCTTACGTCTATGTGACCATATGCTAACGGTTCATTTATTTATTCTCCACTATTGCAGTAACATGAAATATGCACAGGAATGGAGTCGTCCTTAAATGACGTCACGCTTTTAAAATCATCCATCCCCCCCCCGCAACTCATCTCCTCTCCCCCCCCCCAACCATCCGTGTGACGTCATTTATGGACGGTCCCTACCAAATAGTTACATATAATGACCTCTATAAAGTAAAATAAAGCTAACATTCAACATCGCCGGACCAGTATTTCTTTAAGACATTTTTTTTTCTCCGGGGAGGGGGACCCTTAAAACTTTCTTGGGGTACGGACACCGATGTGTATATATATATATATATATATATATATATATATATATATATATATATATAATTTCTGTTTTGCTCGGGGGGGGGGGGGTTACGGTGTTCCCGTCCCCCTCCCCTTCTGAAGAGATGTCTGAAAGGTACATACATTATTTACAGTGTACCAGCTTTGATGTACTAGTGTTTTGGGAGATCAAAAGACGGAACTAGCTGAAGTTGAGACAAAAAAAAAATGGACTAGCCTACCCGGTAAGAACTAGCGCTATTTTACTGAAGTATTTTTTTATACGCGCCATAGCGTACCCGACCTGCGCGTTGCTGCGGTCTCAAAAAATAAAGAAAATTCATAGACTTTAACATGTAAATAAAATGTGCTTCTTGTAGTCGTTTTTGATAATGCATATAACGGATTTTGTTCTGCGCTCTTATAACGTGGAAAAAATCATGTAAAACAATCATGAAGATTACGTCATTTGCAAAGTGACGAAATTCTCAGGAATGTTTCTTTACCATGACTTTATGTGGCATGGCTAGAGTCAAGATTTTGATTATGCATTATCACAGTGTGTGTTGGTTCAATAAAGCATAGCCAAGGTTTTCATACAGACTGAAGAAAATAAATTACATTTAAATAACGGCATTAATTATCAGCAGCTAATTACAGCTTCAATCTCTGAAGAAACGTGTAAATCGGCATAAATTAAGAACTTTCTGAAAGCATACACGTTTTAGTGAGAACAAGGGTTAAAAAGTGGTTTGTTTTTAAAAGTTCGATTAAAAATCTAGTTTTAAATTATGTTACATTTCATTTACAAGCTGGGTCAACTAGGGTACCCAGATCTTGGTGAACTAGGGTACCCATCAGAGCTGGGTGAACTAGGGTACCCATCAGAGCTGGTTGAACTAGGGTACCCATCAGAGCTGGGTGAACTAGGGTACCCATCAGAGCTGGGTGATCAAGGGTACCCATCAGAGCTGGGTGAACTAGGGTACCCATCAGAGCTGGGTGAACTAGGGTACCCATCAGAGCTGGGTGGACTAGGGTACCCATCAGAGCTGGGTGAACTAGGGTACCCATCAGAGCTGGGTGAACTAGGGTACCCATCAGAGCTGGGTGAACTAGGGTACCCATCAGAGCTCGTTGAACTAGCGTACCCATCAGAGCTGGGTGAACTAGGGTACCCATCAGAGCTGGGTGGATTCCAGATCTTATTTTGCTCTATCCACTGACCATACATCTCAGCTTGGAGTCACTGAAGCAGAACTTCATTCAGAAGAATAATCCAAAGATATTTACTTAGGGGGTTTTATAATCCATTCAAACCATTGTATAAATGAAATATTTAATACTGAAAAATTACTTATAAGAATTGTGAAATCACAAAGAAAAGCTAGATAACAACCTTAAGTTTATAAAACATGACATGTAGATAAGTTGTCTCTTTCTTTATTTCTTCTACAGTAATAAATATATTATATAAAACTTCAGTGAAATGTAATGATTAACACCTATACATTCAACCCCATTCTGTCTTTACATTTTGGCTGTGTACTGTGTCCCGCGTAGTAGGTCAATGACCCCAGGCGAGGCCTTAATGATCTGGCAGTCAAGATAATTTCTACTATTGGTCTCCGTGGATTCCAGGAAATACCTGTAGTTGACCATCAAGCCACAGGACTGGTTTAAACCTCGCTGCGATGTGTCGGCTAAATAGTTGATCCTCCACAGCACAGCCCCATTACTCAGGTGGAAATTTGCTGGAAGATTTTTTTTTTAGAATTAAAAATTGGATTTAATTTTTTTTAAAAGTAAAGTTTCTCTTTCACGCCTAACAAATCTTAAGGGCAGCTAAAGTAGGATTCATGTTTCTGGACCTTAGCATGTGAAGGGATAGTGTGGTCAGCACTACGCCCAACATCCTTTACTTCTACAACTAACGTGATTCAGGTACCCATCACAGCTGGGTGGACAAGAACATCCTGTAGTCAAGAGTTTGGACTGGGATCCAAACTTAAGACCTTTATGCTAGCAGCTGAGTGCTCTATTTTCCGACCACGCTATCCCATTCAATTTAATTCCTTAATTCCATTTTAAATATTCATAAATGCAGACATTCAAACATAATACATAAAAAATAACAGTGAGTGGAAATCTTAATAAATACATACTTTTTTTTACAGACAAGATCAAAATAAGTTTTAAGCCTCAAATGATTTAGACACTCTCTTTTCACAAAATTTATATAATCTTGCATAGAGCCGTAAAAAAATGTATTTACAAATCTTACCAACAGGATTTAGAGCATAATTTCTTCTTTTCTGGACATACAAATAATCAGCACACAATCTCATCAGAGGACTTTTCATAGCCTGTAAAAATAAAAATATTTTCCATTAATGACTCAAATTTTCAAGAACAGTTTATTTTTACAACATATAAATTATTGTGTACAAAAAGTAAAATCCATGCAACAATATTCCCTCATACCAACGATTCTTTTTAGTTTCAATACCACATTCTAGTGAATAAAAGTATTGAAATCAAAACCATAGTGTATTTCTAAGTATGTGTAACCTCTTATTGGATGATTAAATACATTCTTTCATTTTCCAATAAGTTTTAGTGTTAAGTATCCATTCATAGTTCAGATGATAACTAGTTCAGACCAATAGTAAAGAGTTTGTTTAGCAAGCATTAGCATAAGAAGTTGTAAAGAAAATCTAATGCCAAACCCCTATTATTTTCTCTGAATTGTTAGGTACCCATGCGACCTATGGAGATACAAGCATACCCAGACCATAAACTAAATATCATAAAAATACCACATTTTCCCATAACCTAACACCACCAACAATCTGTGTAAAACAAAAAAGTCCACTGTAAACATTATTATGTGATGTGAAATAAAACACAATAGTTTCTTTCACCTCAGAGGCGGGAGGAGTCCTTAGTAACCATTATATAATAAATTTTTTATTTCACCTGAGGTAGACCATAAACTTACCTGGGTGAGTCCTTCGTTAAGGTACCACTCATGTAACCATTATATAATACATTTTTTTTTTCACCTGAGAGGTAGGCTATAAACTGACCTGGGTGAGTCCTTCATTGAGGTACCACTCATGGCTGAGTATCAAATCTTTAAAGGTGTCTAGAGCGGAGTGTTGGCCCGCCTTCTGATAGGGGACAAGCGCCTCCGACTCATCTTGGAATAAAACAGGTATGCCACCTGCCCCTTCACCTGCATCTACATACATGCACAATATTTAACTTAACTTGAATCATTTCTTGAGACTTTAACCTTACAATTTAGCATTTTAAAACATCAATAATTAGAAATAACAACATTAATAAAATAGTAAAATCAAGTCAACTCTAGGCATCACATTTTTTTTTGTCCATTATAATCTGGGGGAAATTTGTTCCAATATTAGATATCTGTGCCAACCTGTTATGTGCCGTATGGCCTGTTGATATGGATTTACTAATTACTTCCATAGCTTTTGTCAACCCAAAACATCTGCAAGGCATCAGATTTTTAAGCTGGAATTTTCTCTCCTAAATGGGATGCTGTCCACAGCTTAATGAATCTCATCAGCCCAGGTACCAAAATTGGGACACCCTACCATACTATTACAACTAGCTTTACCCACCCCCCCCCCCCCTAGAATTTAAAAAATGTATACATTGCCTTAATGCAACAATTTTTTAATACTATCTGTAGGAATGGTGTTGGTCTGTCTTTTAAAAACAACTTACTTCTCATATTGATGCTGTGATTAATGTAGGAGACCAACCAATCCCTGAAGCCAGGTATTGGTGAAAGACTTGAGAACTGTTGAAGGTGGGGGAACTCTTCCTGTAACTTTCTCACAACAGACTTTATCAAGTAGTTTCCCATTTCTACTCCCTGCAGACCTAGACAGTAAAAAAAATAATTTCTTTAACTCTACTTTAAACATATATTAGCAGTAATAAAATTATAAATCTTTTGTGTTTAAGTTTTAGAAAATAAAGTATAATATTTCATCTCAGTTTTGTAAAATATTATTTGAAAAATATTTTGAAAAGGGATATTTTACCAGACAGAGAAATGTTTTAAGTTTACTCTATTGATTAAATGACATAGATCTAGTAAAAAGAAAATTTTTTTTTCTAAATTCAAAAACACTAAATAAAATTTTAAAGGATGATTTAGCACTAAGTGAATTTCTAAGTTTCTAAGTTTCTTGATGATGTTTTAGAATAATATAGCGGACATCACAATTCATCTAAGAAGAGAAATATAAATTTTTATAAGCGCCTATCTATTTTACCCTAAAACACTGAATAATAATAACTTTAACAAATCTAACCTTTTTGTGTTGATGTAATGGAATAAAAGACCGCACATTTAATCTGAGACAAATCTTCTTTCTCGTCCTCTATAAAAGGTTTAGTTTGAGTTAAAATAGATGAGACGGTGGGTGAAGTTGGTGTGGCGGGTGTGGTGGACCTAGGGGAGAGAAAATTCCCTGAAAACAGCTCAACAGAGTTGTCTGCTGCCTCTGTAGCTTGGGATGGTCTAAACCTTGCGTTCATGATAATTGACTGAAAAAATTGAAGTAAATTGCAAATAGAATAAATGACAAACACCTAGATAATAATTCAGTGCGGGCAAGAAAACACTTACACAAAATACTTTTACTAAACCATGACAAAATGGGTGCTAGAGATAACTTGCAGGATTTGAATGACTGACCACACAAACAATTTTTTTTAAGGAATTAAGTAAAAAAGGAGAACTGACATTCTCATTCTTAAAACTGTTTGTTTATAAATATTATTTATGTCCTCACTCACACCTGGATCTGCTAATGGTTAAAAAGAAAAAGCAAATTGATCTGATTTGAGTTTTAACTGCCGTATTTTTTAAAGAGTGACTTTTGCCCTTAGGTTAATTAATTTTTTAACTAACTTATATTTGTTGAAACTAAAAACAGGACTGAAAGGAGAATTTTTTTTAAACAAAAAAAAGTATTCTTACATCATTAAAATTTTATTTTTTACTATAAGTTTACACTGCAGACTTCAAATGACAAATACAAACTGATAAAAATATATATGAAACAGTCATACACATTTCTTAGAATTATTTTAATCAATTAATTTCTTCGTACGCAGATTTTTAAATAAAAAGAAATATAAATTTATAACAAAACACTAAAAATTATTTTGGTAATTATTTCAATTAAACAAGTTTTTATTTTATACAAGCGTGCCCGTTATGACGTAATATTTTAAGAGGGTTTCATCACTAATCTTAGACGTGTGACCTTGTTTTCTAAAACTGAGATTTTTAAATGCAGACAATGCCAGCGCAAGAAAGTATGACGTAATATTTAACAGGATTTCATCATTGCGTTACTAAAATTATATTCTTTGAGGTGTGACCTTGTTTTCTAAAACAATGCCTGTGCTTGGATCATATTTATCGGGGCATAGGTTTACCTACACTAAAACCTTGAGTGCACGTTAATCACTAACTGTAATAGTGAGGTAGAACAGACTTCAGTGACCTCCCTGGTGTCAGGGACGTAGAGGGGCGCTCTCGGGAGCCCTGATTACACTACAGCAGGGGCGCCTTAAAACTAATGTAAGCGCCATGGTGCTCAAAGGATAATCTAGGGCACCAAATTGCACCCTGCTGGATTCAATTTGGTGAGTGACTATAACGCCCCGTCTTATTTATAGTCTATTGTACTGTTTAGAACGAACATAGGGTCCATTGCGCTCCAGGGAAAGCCCAGAGCGCCAAATTAAAACCTGCAGGGGCGCGTTGGATGCACCTGGTTCAATATAGTTAACGATTATTGTTGCCCATTGTATAGCTTTTTTAAAAGTAGAACATAGGTGCCATAGTAATCCCAGGGAAGCTCGGGGCACAGAAATCTTCTCGGGAGTATTCTCATTTACTCCGCAAAGTTTTATGTCAGTCGCATGAACCGTATCGAACTGCATCCTACTTTTATATTTTATATACCGTATATAGAGAAAAATCACACCCTCCCGGGGCGCCGCCCTTGCGGAATCAAAAGAGATTTTTTTGCCTTTCCCTGTAGTGTTCTAATCAACTCCCCAAAGTTTCATGGCGATGAGATAACTGTGTGACTGCAATCGACTTTTATTTTTTATATATATTATACATAGAGAAGAATCAAATTGCGCCTTACTAGGGCACCACCCCTGCAAATTTGAAATTTATTTTTTCACAGGAACCTCCCTAGGATTATTCTCAACAACTTCTCAAAGTTTCATGGCGATCGGATGAAAGGTGTAGTAATGCTTACAAGACACACAAACACACACACACATACATAGCTTTTTTTATATATAGATAATTATTTTCCGTTCTACCATATAATCCCATTTAAAAAAATATTTATACCAAAACAGACTCAATAGCATAATGCTAAGAAGTGCATTAATTGACCCAACTTCCCATGTTGTGATACAGAACGATAAAGAAAAGAAATTATAATGGAATAGCAAAAGGAAAACAATATATAAAATACTTCACAAACATGCACTTTAAAAACTGCACTCCTAAAAAGAGATGCTCCCATGAAAAATTATTGGGAAAACTAAACTCTAATTAAGAAATAAATTATAGTTCACATAATTTTATATTTTAATATTGGAAAAATATCAGCTTAAATAATGGAGATAAAATAAGCAGATATATGTCACAGTACTTAATAACTTGACCATGAAATTGCAATAAAATATTGATATTAATTTCTGAAGAATTGATCCCACTTTTTTGTTTGTTTGTTTGTTGTTTTTTTTTTTTGGAAGAAAAAAAAAACAAAATGGGAGATCAATTATTCAGTTTTTATCACATAAACATGCAAGATATTTTTTTATACCTGTTTCCAAGAAATCAATAATGGTTTTACTAGCCTCCTCAACCTGTTATAAGTTATAGTAAGTATTCTAAATGACATTTTCATAATAGGAATATTAATATTATAACCCACCTCAAATATTAAGAAAGTTATGGAACTTTTAATTTTTTTATTATGTGTCAAATTTGAATGACCAAAAACATCCTTTTTTGATGCCCTGTAACCTATTTTGTAAAATAATTAGGTAACATCTTTGAAGCTAAGACTTTCATCACTTGACAAGAAAATTAATATGTTAAATTTTTTTCAAGATGATCCTTTAAATTTTGATTGCGATATTTACAATGAATATGTAGACTCTTAACTAAATTTAAAGGAAAAAAAGGTTAGTTAAATAAAGTTATAAAATCAACCATGCAAGACACAGTTAATGTTTTTAGACCAAAGGAAAGAAAACAGATGTTTTTTTTAAAGTTATTAGTTTTCGGTGATGTTTGCATTTTATCAAACAACTGTTATCTTAACTTGTAAAAGAAGTACAAATATTAGTGATGCTTTAAAAATGAAATAAAATTTAAAACTGAAGCTATACAAATCTGTGGGCTTTGTATTGTAGATAATCTTAATGCCCTTCAATACAGTAGCAATTTTTTTTTTAATTATGCAGAAAAATGCTACGCTTATACTTATTCAATAATAAAAAAATAAAAAAAGGCTATTAAATAAAAATAGGGACTCACATATAAATTAATATAGTATACTGTATTACAAGCATAGATAACTGATCATAAGCATGCAATCTATGTTACAACACAAATTTATTTTTGCCCTTATCATTAAGCCTGATGATGGTCAAACTTGCCCTCGTCTAAACCAGGTCGTGTCTAACGGCTGGTAACATGGGTGAGAGAAATGATCAATTCTTAACCTACAGAGAGAGTCATTAAACCTAACAATTGAATAATTAACATTGTCAAAGCACTTAAATCTTATTTCATTGTTTTAAATGATTAAATTGTTTTAAAAATAACAAATCCTTATTTTGGTATCAAGTGATGTCTGACATAAAAAAATCCAAGTTTAAGAACTGTATTTACAATCTGAGGAACCTGCTTTGTCTGGCAGAAATATTTTGTAATCAAAACGTCTACAACCTTTGAATAAATAATTGTGATGTCAAGTAATGTTAGTAAAACTAAATTATCAAAAGAAGTCTTTTTCTACTTTGTGTGATGACATATATGGTACAGTTGCCTATGTGGTTACTATGTAGACTACTGCCTCTATTGTTGTAAATTGAAAAGAAACATGCTGAATACTTTTGATAAGTACTAGTTTATTGTTTAGAGATCATGCACACATTATATTAGAACCTAGTTCTAATAAGACTGCATCCTAAAAAATACTGTCAATTGAAATTTAAGCATTCAATGAAAATGATTGTGCATGCTCTACTTGATTGGATGATAAGAAATAAAATACAGATTGCATCAAAATCAATAAGGAAACACCAGACTTAAGGGTTAGCAATCACATGCTCTATACAATAGTTAAAAAAATAACAGGTACCCTATTTAAGGCTTATTAAGCCTGCACAAGGACTCTTTCTATAACCATTAAACAATCCTACAACCTCAGTGAACAAAAAAGATCAATAAACTCTAAGGTCAAGGTAAATTCACGAAGTGATAAAGCTGTTGACTCAATGTTTCTAATGCAAGCGTTAGTGTTTACCACCCCACAAGAACAAGACTAGCTTGTAAATAGGCATCTGCCCTTGTAAGAAGTAATAATTTTTTATATTTGCCTAATAATTCTATAAGAATGGTTTGATGATATGACGCCAGAAAAAAAAACACAATTTTGACCATTTTACTGCTTTGAATATTAATGTAATGCAACAAAATGTGTTTTCTGTTTAAAATAGCCTAAATACTTAATTACTATTTTCTAAATTAACAATTATTTTTTATGATTTTATTTAGTAGGTCTAAAAGTCTATAAACAACTCTATCTCACAGCTTAATAAATATAAATAATTAAGACTGAAAAAAACCTCAATACTCACATGAATACTTGAAGATATTTCACTAGTTAATGCTGTATGTAAGACAACTACAGGTTCCCTTGGCATACTATTGTGTGTAAATATATAACAACGTCTATAAGGCCCCACCCGCCTTTTTATATCTTCCCATGTTCTGATTCTGTGAACAGCTTCATAGTTTGACACCTGATCAGAAATATAAGGGCAATAACAAATAGAAATATTAAATTCCTTCTAATTGTAAAGATTTTTACTCAAATAGTAACATTAAAGGAATCTTTTTCTTTTATAACAAATACTAACAAATGATTGATTTGAGTTCATTCATAAATAACATGACACACCAAGTGGAGAGAGTATTTTTGCCTTCTCTGATGACATAGCATTTATTTTGTATTTTTCAAGTATAAAAAATAATGGACTAGTTACTACTGTATGTTAAGATTGTGGTTATTCGTGAAAGGGGAAAGTGTTGATGCCTGGTCTGGAATTAAAGTGGGGAATTAAAACTTTTAATATCATTAACGGAATACTCTTCTACAGTTTGAACAAAGAATAAAGGAAACATAATCACTAACAAAACAAAAAGCTCTTACTTTTTGTACTAAATCACAAGGAGAGTTCCATGTTATCCTTTCCAGATTTAAAAAACCTACAGTAAACCACAACATGAGTAACTCTTTTAATGCATTATTCAGTTCTTGATATAGCGCTCCATTTAATTCACTGTGGGTACTTTGTTTGAAATTCTGTACATAAAGGGAAAGAATAAAAGTTATAAGCATCTAGCATCATTAATAAGGTAATATTAAGTTCAATTTATTACATTCAAGATACAGTCTGCTAAAAAATTTAATACAACATGTAGTAGCTTTGAAAATTTTTCTAAAAATAAAATCAAGTTTGTAAGGAAGTTCTTACTCAAATATTTATAAAGATTGTATTGCCAACAACATTTTTTACCCATTGGGTTTGGCTTCAGCATAAAGTTAGAATTAAAATATTGTCATATTCAATAAAAAAGCTTTATAACTATGTAGGTAAGGCTATTCAGTAAGTATCTAACTACTTAACAAACATACCAAAACATCTGCTCTCATGTCTACTAAGAATTTAACCCCTCCTTTCACTCTACCCATGTGTGAAAAGAATGTTTTGTATTTGGGGCGTAATGCAGATCGCATTCTTTCAGATAATAATAAAAAACTAGCATTGTCTTTATCCTGAAATAAAAAGTGTCGTTTAAATAAGAATTCTTTAAATTAAAAACATGTTATGTGAAATTAACACATTCCACACATTGTTCTATGAAGACATCATTGACTATAAAGGATATATCTTGTATGCCTCTATAAAAAGCTTTCTATTTTTATTAATAATTATTATTTTAGATTTTTAAACAAAAAAAATACTTTGATAAGCTCAGTGACAATAATTTATAACTAAAGTTATTGTATGTGAAATCAATGCTATACTATAATGATTGAAGTATCTTACCTTAACTGACAGAACAGAGTTTGCAACTGAGACCACACTATTTTTATCAATACCATAACTCTTAGCTAATTCACACAAAAACACTCCTCTCTGTTCAGATGGCAGTTTTTTGTAGTATTCGATAAAACTGTTACATTTTTCCTTCAAAATAAAAAAAATTAAAATGTCATTTTTAGGGTGAAAATGCCTAAGCAACGTACAGTATTATAAATTGAAAATAAGATTAAATATATTAATCTGCTAAATTGGTATGATGCAGTTATAAGTACAAAAGCACAATTTTTGTTTTTTTATCCTTCTATAGAAAAGAAAAAAATGTGCTACATGTTCTTTTTCTTTTTTAATAAACTAAAAAAAATAATAATAAAACTACTACTGTTGGCTAAGCCATTCTGCAACAGATGCCATATCCTACAGTCTGTTCACTTTTAACATAACTCCAAAAAATGGAGAGCTCACTTTGCCTATAATTTTTATCACTTACACTGTATGGCTAAGCCAACCATTTTTTTTTCAAATTTTTCTATATTTCTGGCCAACATTTAGCTCACCTCTGATGTTAAATTATTTGCCTCTATATCAGCAAATGATAACTGCAGCATGCTTGTCCCACTACTAGAACAATACATGTTAGCCAACAAGTTTCTCATAGCACTGGAACTTTTATGGTGTTGAAAAATCTGAAGAAAAATTATTATCATAAGGTAAACAAGAATTTGCGTTCATTAAAAAAATTGTATGGGGGGGGGGACGCAGTGTTAAACTGATTGGGTGTGAGTTTGTACTTCCAGTACCACTACATCCCTTATATTTCTTTTATTATTCATTAGTTTTTTATGAAGTTGACACTACATATGACAAAAATATTTGCTTTAAAACCCAATCAGGTGTGTGACCAACCGCCATAACTAAGCTGCTTGTTAGCTGAAGATTAATCCAGTTGTTATCTCCCCTTTTATTACTGAATTTATTAATCTTTAAATTAATGTTCAATGATTTATTTAATATCTAATTAGAAATTTTCTTAGCTATTCTTGCTCTGTTTTTAGAGATGAATGTGTCTTTATCTATATAGTTTGAACAAAACCCCTGCATTAGAAGTGAATAAAAACTAAGTTACAAGATTGGACACAAACACACCAACAGACAGATATTGTGAACTAAATAAAAGCTTAGTCCACTCCTTTAATGTTATACTGAGTTAAACTTTTACTAGTGACCCCCCCCCCCCCCCCTGGCCCGGAGAAAAAAAGTCTGGAAGAAACACTGCACTGAGATTAGCTCTAACCATAATTTATGTCCCTGCTGAACTTAAGAATAAGGCCAAATACTCTTAGGTTCATAAACTAGTGTCTTAGTTACACAGTTCCCAAAGTATACCACCCAATATTAGTTTAATATCTTATTACAGGCTTATTGGTAAAATTGAAGATACTTACACCAAAAATTTGTTTTAATCGGTGCACTGGCCGTTGAAATATAATGCTCATTTTGTATTATAATTTTAGTCAGATGCTTTAATGATAAGAAGTTTTCTGTTATTTTACAGCTATACTACTGTTGTTTGTCAAAATATTCTGATTCTGTACTTGGAGAGTGTAAGACAAGACTATCATCCAGGATCATGACATCATTTTTCATTAATAAGAATCTAGCTGGACTGCTAGTGAAAACTAACTACTTGTGACCTAGGACCTATACTTTTATAGTCTTGTCGTCAGAGATCAAATACTGCCCAATTAAAAATTATTAGTATTTTATTAAGCCTAATAGTAATAATAATCATAGCCTAATAATATTAATAATATTAGGCTAATTATTATTAATAATCAAACAAGATGGTTTGGACCTAATCCTCTTGCTTGATTATATTAATAAATATTAATAGGCCTATATTTAAATATTATTGGCTATGGCTATGATGATTATTAGGCCTAGGCCTAATAAAAAATAATAGGGCCCTAATTATTAATTAGGCAGTATTTGATCTACTATTAGATCCATAAAGGCCCACTTAACTTAAATTTTAATAGATTTTAGTCTCAAATTGAAATAGGCCTAGTCTAGGGCCTACTATAATTTTTAAATTAAAAGTAGTAAAGTAGGCTTTAGTTAGTAGATCTAGATCTAGTATCCCCTGCCCTAGGCCTTGACTATAAACTATAAATTATTAAATTAAGCCGGTGAAAAATGTGGATCTAAAATTATTTCAGTTAAATAGTACAAGGTTTAAGACTTCAGTCTCGATTAGAAGATCTAGAATCTAGATCTAATCTAGTTCTAACATAAAAATATAGAAATCTAGATCTAATCTCATAACACCAAAAACTGACTGATGATCTGAACTTTGACAAGTGTATCCTTGACCTTGATATCTATTTTTAGATGAATTTTTGGGTAATCGTTGCCATTTTCAATCACACACCAAAACTACCGATTATTGGCTAGTTGTGTTTGAAGTTTAAAGTCATGAGTTCCGACCATTTATCCACACCTCTATTGGATTTAAAATCTACCAATAACAAACATGTAAAGCAAAACATTAGCTGTACTAACCTCTTGTAATTGTAACAAAACGCATATGCTTTGAGCCTCATTTATTGAACAGAGAAAAAGATGCTTTCTTAGAAATGGATAATTATCTGTTTCAATTCCTAGGAGAGTTCGCTTAGACTATAAATAGCATATTTCGTAGAAAAGGCTCAAGCCTACCTAGTAGTACCTAGGCTCTAAGTCTAAGTTATCCTGTTTCAAATCTACTTAGGCCTAAGATCTAGTAACTTATTGTGTGGACTAAAAATGAAACCGAAAGTTACATTTCAAGAAATTATTGAAAAGCATAGTCTCTTTAGGGTAGAAAACATTGAATGCATGGTTGCCATGCGCCTATTCAAATTAACAGTTTTCTCAAAATAGCCTATAAAGTATAAATGCGTAGACCCAAGACCAGGACTAGGCTAATGTAATATGTATTTTATTAAATGTTATTTGGTTATAGTCGCATATCTTGAGTTATACAACTAGAACTGTGGTTCTTAATTGGGTTGGATCGAACCCCAGGTGTTCGGTGAGTCAATATCAGGCGTTCGGTGAGGGGTCAAGACACATACCTAACTCATCTGATTTGCTAACAGGATTGTCAGCCCTCGGAAATTTTAGTCCGCCCCCCCCCCCCCGAAAAAAATTTCAAGTGCCCCGCCCCCCGGAGAAAAAAGTCTGGAAGAAACACTGGATAGAACTAGCGTCCGCGGATGATGACAGTTAAAATGCAACAGCACAACATAGTAATAAAGTGCGCCAGATCGTGTATATACCTGCTGTGGCGAACATACTTTTTATTTCTATATTGTGATTTCTTTCTTAACATGTTCAGTGTTTCTTCCACACTTTTTTCTCCGAGGGGGGGGGGGGCACTTGAAACTTTGGGGGGGGGGGGGGGGGCGGACTAGATTTTTCGGGGGGACACACTGTTAAAAGTGTATATCTTCTATATTAATTCCAGTTCGTTCGCCCCCGCCCCCCCCCCCCCCCCGAAGAGATTCCTGGAAGAAACTCTGAATATGTTAATCCCTTAATACTATGTGGAGCAAAATAAAATAAAAAGTAGTAGGACGAATATAAAGACTACAATATGGATTCACATATTATGTAACGGAACCATCATGTGGGAGTCAACGTCCTACTTGCATGATTTGCCACGTTAATTAAGCAATTCCAGTCTAGTAGTAGGCCTACCGACAAAACTAATACAACAATTCCTTAAGCTGCATAGAGATAAAGTAGCAACCCCCCCTCCTAAAAATTTTAAGTCCCCCCCCCCCTCTTAAAGTTTTAAGTTGTCCCCCACACCCGGAGAAAAATGTATGGAAGAAAAACACTGGCTAATTGTCGCTTTACGTTGTTACAAAAATGCAGAGGTGTAGCTGGAAGGGGGGGGGCTGCTTCGGGCGTCGACCCTAGGGGGGGGGGGGGGGCGCAAAAGGGGTAGGAAAAAAAATTTAAAGGATAATTTTAAGCTGCATTTTGTAATTATAAACAGTCAAAGTTAAGAAATGTAACGGCTACGAGCCTTTGCATACTGATTTAACTGTTTTCTACCTTGATTTTGTAAATGTAAATCATACTCTTAAGAAACAGCGACCGAAAAAAAATCGCTTTTCAGCTTTCCTAGATGGGGGACGGGGGGACGGACGCTTTTCCGAAGACTAAAATCCTAAAAATGTACACTGGATTAGTGAGTAGATAACCGTTATCACTTAGAAAAGAAACCCATTGTGCTAAAGCGTATTTTAATATTGTGTAACACAGTGGCGTAGCTACCGTAAAGCTAGCGTAAACAAGGCATAGGGGCCCAAGGCAAATAGGGGCCCTTTTCCCTCTTTAATTTTTTAAAAACTTTTACATTGGAATTTTAATAAAATTAATTTTTAAAAGAAAACGGAAATTTAGTTTCTTTTCTACTGTAGAAGTAATACAAAAAAAGTCCAAAAAGGCCCAAAAACCTTTCTTACTGGGGAGGGGGGCGTACAAGGCCCATCGGTATTAATAACACTATTTTCAGTGGCGTAGCGAGGTCGGGTGTTACCCGGTGCGGCACTTAATGGTGTCACCTCCCCCCAGAGGCGTAGCGACAAACTTTCAATTTTTTTATTTGCACCCCCTCCCTCAAATTTTCGATTTGCACTCCCCCCCCCCTCGAACTTTTGATTTGCACCCCCCTCAAGTTTTCTCTATATATTTTGCTATTTTTTGCCTTGGTGTCACCCCCCTAAATGGTGTCACCCGGTGAGGTCAGCCCCTCCCCCGCCCCCCCCCCCCCTCGCTACGCCTCTGGGTATTTTTGCGTTGTCGGGCAAGCCGTTGAGAGAATTAGCCTATACTATAAATAAACTTCAACATTGACTCTTTAGTGAGATTGGCATCCGGCGCCCGCAAATTTATACGCATCGTTAAAAATTCTCTAACCCAACGCCACAAACCTGCACCCTCTCCCCTCTCAATAGGGCTGGTAAGTAGGTCACCAACCAGTTCTATGGCTAATGCAGGTTTTATTGAGCCATAGAACTGGTTGGCGACCTACTTACCAGCCCTATTATCTGTCCTCACCGAAATTCCATCCATCCAGGATTAAAATTGAGACATTTTTTTTTAAATAACAGCAGTGGACAGTGTTTTCACAGCAAGCTAAGTTGAAAACGTGTCAATGTTTTTTCTAGTTTTAACCTTAATCACAATTTGTTTGTTGATCTAATTTATCTCTAATCAAATGCCGCTACTTAAAGATTTTTGTTTGTCTGTCTCATTGTCCTTTATGCATTAATACAAAAATTATCCAATCGCCAAGAAACATTGGGAAGTCGTTTAGAATAAATCAGACAAACCTCTACTGAACGTGAAATTTCCTACCACAACCCCAAATATTAGTATTATGAGGAGTAGTGCCTCCCCCCCTCGAAGAGAAGACAGAAAGAAGTTTTCTGCCATTAATTTTTTTTTAATTCGTTCGGAGAGCGGCCCCTTGACAGTAAGGCAGTTCGGTTTGCCACCAAGTGGCTTTCCAGTGGCTTTCTTAGCACCTGGGGTCAGTTAATTGGGTGCCCTGCACAATGAGTTAGGGTTACTGCTTAATTCAACGGTCAAACTGCACAGGTGCATCAGCCGGCGTCCCGGGCTCCCCCCCCCCCCCCCCCGTGAGTACTACGGCGCATACACTTGTTTTAATGAGCGCCGTGCCTTAGTGATACGGAGGGCTACTATAATCAATGGCTAAAAAAATAAGGGGTGTCATCCAGCCGCGTCGGCAGTAGTACACAGTTGGGCGCCCCAAGTCTCTCCGTTATGATGATGTTATGGAACAAGTTGTAGATATGCCCTTTGGATCAGTAACTTGACCATCCGAAGTATCGAACATCAAAAAACAGCTAAAATGGACTTCAGGGAACATACTAATCACTACAAGAAAGAAAACAAAGCAAACCTAAATAAATCATGAGCAACTTTTAAAAATGTGTATTTTGTTAGTAGCGTCACAAGATTCGATATCAACCGGTGTGTTTAGTGAGTGTCACCCCCACCCCGTCTAACAATTTTGCATTTCCGGTGGAGGGTTACCCCCTCTCCTTAATATTTTATTATTTTAACTGAATAAAATATAGTTTTGACAGTAAATTTTACGAGTTTTCGTCATGGTGTCACGCCTAAATTGTGAGGCCCCCGCCTCGTGAAGCTACTGTGTTAGGTTACTTAAAGATTACAGGCTTACAGTTATTTTGTTTGTTTGTTTTATAAAAGTGATATAAAATCAAACGTATTTTACGCTATGGGGTACAACATAATAATACTGTATAAATACACAACTATGGACGTATAAAATACACAATTTAAAGATTAACGTAGGGGCCCAATAATAATTTTTGCATAGGGGACCGAAAATCCTAGCTACGCCACTGGTGTAACATTTAAAAAAGAGTTACTGGGAGGAGGGGCAGAGGCGTAGCGACCCTTCCTGGCGACCGGGGACAAACTTTTCGATTTGCACCCCCCCCCCCGAGATTTCGATTTGCACCCCCCCCTCGAGATTTCCATTTGCACCCCCCTCAAACTTTCGATTTGCACCCCCCTCGAGATTTCGATTTGCACCCCCCTCAACCTTTCAATTTATTTTTCCAACCCATTTTGGCGCCCCCTAAGGTCGGCGCCCGGGGACATATGTCCCTCCCGCCCCCCCCCCCCCCCTCGCTACGCTACTGAGGAGGGGGAGGCGCTTTTTTGCCACCAAAAATCGCAAGGATTTGTACTGGATCTGTGACAAGATAACGCTTTTAAGACTTAAAAAAGAAACCAAATGTATTAACGCTTAATGTACTATTTCACTGCCAAGTTTTGATAAGAAATGACGCGACTAGTTCTGTGCCATTCTTACGATTCTCTCAACTTCAACGTGAGAGATCAGATACTTTTACTTGATTGCATTACATCTTACCCGGATCACTGCATTAAAAAGAAATAATATCACGGATTCTTGTAGAAGATGCAAGCTTATTTGGTTTACTTTTGGTTGTGTCTTTAGAACAATTTTGATAATAGTATATTATCGTTTTAAATTTATATCAGTTTGGTTGAACAAAGTAACAAAGCAGTAGCAGTCATCATGTTGTACCGATTTTATTAGGTAAAAAATTATCTATTCGGTACAACATACTAATTTGGTTAGCTCTAAAAATTTAGGCAAAGAGTATCGCCTTCCGCCCACGCGCTTTGACCATATGTTATTTTACTGATTGGATAGCGATACAAGAATACGTGATATTTAATCCTCTTTACTACAGTGACCCAGGTAAGATGTAATGCAATCAAGTAAAAGTATCTGATCTATCACGTTGAAGTTAAGAGACTCATAAAAATCGTACAGAGAAGCAGTGGCGTAGCGAGGTCGGGTGTTACCCGGTGCGGCACTTAATGGTGTCACCCCCACCACCCCCAGAGGCGTAGCTACCCTTCACGGGGACTAACTTTCAAATTTCGATTTGCATCACCCCCCCCCCCCCCCCCGCCCCCCCCCCCCCCCTCCCCCACACACACACTTTCGATTTGCACCTCTTAAAAGACTATTTAACACTCGAATTAATCACTTAATTAAGTGGAATTATCATTTTTCTCTATATATTTTGTTATTTTTTGCCTTGGTGTCACCCCTTTGAATGGTGTCATCCGGTGCGGTCCGTACCCCGCCCCCTCACTACGCCACTGCAGAGAAGTAATCGCGTCTTTTTTTTAAATTAAAATTGGCATGTGAAATCGTACATTATTCGTTAATGTAATTGGTTTCTATTTTAAGTGTTAAATGATTCATCTACTCACCCGTTCCGGTGTAAATCCCTCTTAACCTTGGAGAAAAAGCGCCCCACCCACCACCTTTTAACTTATTTCACTGCTACACAATACGCTTTAATTCTTTTGGTTTCTTTTCTGTTAAAAGTTATCTACTCACCAATCCAGTGTTGTTGTTTTTTTGGCGAAAAAGCGCCCCCCCCCCTCCCCCCCACCATCTTGAACAACGTTGGTAGAGCGGGTTTTAACGTCACTAACTTTTTTAAAAATGTTACACAATCGTACAATACGCTTTAGTTTCTTTTCTATGTGATAAAGGTTATATACTCACCAATCCAGAGTAAATCCTTGAGATTTTAGTTGCACCATCTTGAGAAAAGCTAGTGCAGTGGGTTTTAACGTCACTAACTTTTTTTACGGTTACACAATCGTACAATACGCTTTAATACAATTGGTTTGTTTTATAAGTAATAAAGTTGATTAACTTACAAATTAATCCAGTCGCGAAAAAGCGCCCTCCCCCATCTAGGAAAAACTGGAAAGCGATTATTGCCGGCCACTGTTTCTTAAGGGTATGTTTTACAGTTCAAGGTAGAAAACAGTTAAATCAGTATGCAAAGGCTCGTACCCGTTAAATTCCTCCTTTTGGCACCCCCTGGGGTCCCCACCCCCACCCCTATCTACGTCTCTGGTATAATCGTCCTGTCGATGGTCCAACTAGTTCTTGAAAATTAAAACGATAATGAAAACGTTAAATTTACTTAATTTAGTTAGGGAATATTTGGGGGCACCAAAATCAGCTGTCTGGGTTACTGCTTCAGCTCTGTCAGTGTCAGTCTCGCCTTTCCCCATGCCAATAAATCATTTAACATGCTTGGGAAATCCTGGACTAAGTGATAATTTTTTTGCTTCATCTATAAATTTAAAAAGATTGTTATTCGATAAAACTCCTTTGATCTAGTGACTTTTTTTTTGTGTTTTGCAAATACCACAAATGAAAGCGGTCATGTCAGTAGAAACATTGTTTCTTTTGTTTTAAATATAGAATAGGTACTGAATTTTAAGTGGAGAGAAGCAAAATCTTTTGTGTTTTAAGTTTACATCATTACACATGTTTAGAAAAAGTAAAACTAGTCAGGAAACCGAAATACGAAATGTGTTTTTCAATGTTAAAAGTCCAAAAGTAGTTTCACTAATTTAAAAATTTAGAGATGTAGATTTAGGCTCTAGATCTAGCTGCTCTTTCTTTGTTGGAAGTAAGTATATGAACTTAATTTACAAAAACTACAATGTAATTTATAATTTACACTTTCAATTTTTTTTTAAAACCCTGCGCTAGTGCGCTAGTGAGAATCTCCTCACTCCTCAGTAATCTGGGGCAACTGGGCTAATCATCAAGGATTCAAGATAGGCCTCTCGGGCCTCTCCTCTCCTCAGTCTTCTTTCAAATTTACTACTTTCAAACTTTGTTTAGATTAGATTAGACTTTAGTTAGAGTTTTTATAGGCCTACCAGTTATTAATAGTAGACAATTGGGGCCTACATTTTACATAACTGATTAAAGTGATTAGGCCTAGTATTTGAAGAAAATAAAAAGGAACTGTAAATAGTAAATACTAAATAGGCGGAGTCTAACAAACTCTAGAGTCTAGGCTAAGGCCTATCTAATAACTATAATTTGTCATAAATTTTTAACAATTTTTCTCATAAAGTTAAAAATGCTTTATTTTTTAAAATGTTCTGGGATCATCCATGAACATCATCACATTCTATGCGAGGAGTGGGGCTTGGACTTTAGTAAAGGGGGGAGGAAGTTTCAGAAAGTGTTAAAACACTAAGCCCAATGTCTTACATCATTTGTAAGAATATGTTAAATTAAAATTGATTTTATCTGCCTACATTATACATCAAGCTCACTTAGTTTTAGTTTAACATGTTTGTTTAATTTCAGGTACCCAGTATTACATTTGCATCTTTCAAGAGAATTTCTTTTTAAATGACATAACTAAAATTTCAAAGCGAGCTCGGAACAATTTTTAAAAATTTTTTAATAATGTCTTGCCTGTTGCCAAGATTGTTTGTCTCCTCATCAAAACTTCAAGGTGTATTATCAAAACATAAATTGAAAACCATTGTATCCTGTGACCACTTCTTACTTCAACAATTTCAATGTGGCAGTAATGTACACTACCGAGGTTACATGGGATTTTCTCTGGGAGATACCAATGTTAGTAAAGCTGTGTCTGATGCAGAAAAAATTGTTGGCTACCCCACATCATTCCTCAGTCTCCGGTGCCTGCTTTCTGATGAGCTGTCCAACATTGCTTTGCATATGAGGAAACTGGTGGGCACTAAACACCCACTTCTTAAGACAGCGAGGTAATTATTTTAGGAAATTAATGGGATGGTGTTGTTGAACAGTCAAGTTTTATTACAGAAATCTCTAGTTAAATTATTGGTTCAGTATGATGCCAGGTTTTTACTGATATTTTATTCTGACACATTGTACACTTCTGTACACACATAAATATTTAACCTAATACTAGAACAGTGAGATAAATTATTGTGTAATATGCTAGGACAACCAGAACTTCTTTCTCTAAACAATGGTAATAAACCCTGCACCCATAGGTCAATCAAGCACCCATGGCTGGGCATCGTACTGAACATGCTATTCCTTCAAATGTCATACTCACAGTCATAAAAGTCCCATTTGTCTAGATGGAAAGGGCACTTTACTTGAAGTGATGAAGTCATGCTTGTTAATACCTTTAATTGACTACTGTATTAAATACAGACACATTTAAAAATTCTAAGTTACACATCAAACTTAAAGAGATCAACATAGACTGATATATGTGTTTATATATAAGCTAATAACTTCTAAATAATACAAAACACCATTTTTAAAATACGAGATGATTTTCTATGCCTAGATATAACAGCATACCTTGTATTTTCTAGAGGAATGGTGTTTGATGGTAAAAACAATTTACAGCTACGTGGATTGTTGATAATGTTAATTTCAAAAGCTGCTGGTCCTAACCCAAGTGCCTTACACACAGAACATGAAATGATTAGTGGGGTCTATCCCAGGTAACAGTTTTCATAGAAATAGGGTATTAGTTTTTTCATACCGAAATATATCTATTTAAATTACGGTAATAAATTTCTGCTGTGTACTTATGTTTTTCCATACCTAGTCTTGATTTAAATATAGAGCTAGTAACACTTCTTAGACTTAAAATATAGTAATACTTATAATTTTTTTCTTTTTTACAAAGTTTTATTTTGAGCTCTAGTCACAAAAGTACCCATAGTCCCTGATAAGATTCTTTAAAAAGCTCTATAATTCCTTTAATTACCAAAAGTATTAGTATTACTGTTGTTGTTTCATACTGACAATTTTCTTTAACAGTCAGCGTTCCTTGGCTGAAATTACAGAGGTTATCTACACAGCAAACCTGATACACAAAGGTGTGGTCAACCTGAACGAGCTGTTACCAGATGATGGTCCTTTTGCTGACATGGAGTTTGGCAACAAAATGGCAGTGTTAAGTGGGGACTACCTTCTTGCTTCAGCCTGCTCAGGCTTGGCTAAATTAGGATTTCCCATTGTAAGTCTGATGTTTTTATTAGTAAGTAAAGTAAATAAAGTTTCCTTTTCAAACCTGGCGGTCTATAGGGTAAGTGAAGTAGAGTTCACTTGTTTCTGTGACCTCTGCATATGAAGAGATTGTGTGGTCAGCATCATGCCCAGCAGCCTTTACTTTCACTTTCACTTACGTGAGTTAGGTACTCATCAGAGTTGGGTGGACACAGGGACGGTCTACTGACTTGAACCTGGATTCGAACTCGAGACTTACGGTTTAGCAGTCCAGCTCTCTACCGCTAGACCACTCCATCCCTTGCTTCATCACTCTTGTTGTTTCCCTAGAAAATTATCCCTGGAAATTATGTACTAAAAGTTAAAGAGGAAAAAATTAATCTACAAGTTTGTTATTCACCCCATTTCACTTACTGCTTAAAAATGTATTATTTCCCTCATTACAATACCACTTACAAGTTAGCTTTCTTCACATGCACTGTTTAGAAATTATTTTGAGTAGCCATCACTTTTTAAAAACTGTTTCAAAATATTATATCTGTACTAAAAGTTGTCATAAAAATGCAATTGATCAAATTATTAATACAGAAGTTATTGTAAATTATGTCTAACTGTTAGCTTTTTTTCAGCTAAGAATAGGATTGCATTTTTAAAAATTAGCTTTTTTATAAAACAGAAAAACACTGGTTATTGTAACAGTTCCAGCAATTATTGTAATAGTTACAGCTACCTTTTTCTTTACTTAAAACGTGTATACTTTGAACACTAAGCGTTTGATTACTTTGGCAGGTGGTAGAAAAAGTTGCCAGCTGTATAGCAGACATGATGTCAGCAGAGTTCACAGAGTACACAGATTCCAATGGTAAACCAAACATGCCAAAAAGCTGCCTGGGCTTCTCTGATTGGTTGATACAGACCCACTTGTCATTAGGAAGTCTCCTGGCTAAGAGTTGTCAATCTGCCATGATCCTGGCTGGCCATTCGAAGAGTTTTGAGGACAGCGCTTATGCATTTGGGGAAAATACTATTTATGCTCAACAGGTAGTGGCTTAAGAGAAACTTTTTTTAGGATATAAATCATTGTTATGTTTGATTGAGGGTTGAAGATTTAAGAGACATGTATTCACTTGTTCTGTCTTGAGATTAGCTTTTAAAACAAAATAAAAATAAGAAAATAAATATAGACCTTTTCTCCTCTTTACAACTAACACACTTGACATCATTCATCATGTTCCTAGACAATGGAAAATTGGTAAATGTTATTTCCCCACAGACTGTATTATTAATGATACTTACTCCCTACACTAAATTTTTACCATCTAATCTTTTATGTGCTTTTCGAGTAAAATAAAAATTCTGTCAATAAGAAAACTTGTAAAAGTGTTGCTTGATAAACTTGCAACATAATTATAGCTGTTTTTTAATTTTTAATTAATCAATTACAAGCGATTTCATCTTTCTGATATAATTTTGCCGTCATAAGAAATGCTTATTCATATTAATAATGTATCTTATATCAGGAGTTTGTTCACAGGCAAAATTAAAAAAACAAGCAAAACATATTTTTAAATAGTATTTTTCATGTCTAGTTAATTTTATACAACATTTTCAATATGACTCAACTTTCAATCAAAACTGATACTTGACTGTTACTACTTTTCACATGACCCAACATCATTCTCTAGTCTCAGGTGCCTGCTTTCTGATGAGCTGTCTCACATTGCATATTATTTGACAAGTGCTACTAATCCTCCACACAAGTGCTACTGTCCCCAACACAACTAGTGCTACTGATCCCCCACACAAGTGCTACTGATCCTCCACACAAGTGCTACTGATCCCCCACACAAGTGCTACTGATCCCCCACACAAGTGCTACTGATCCCCCCCACAACAAGTGCTACTGATCCCCCACACAAGTGCTACTGATCCCCCCCACAACAAGTGCTACTGATCCCCCACACAAGTGCTTCTGATCCCCCACACAAGTTCTACTTATCCCCCACACAAGTGCTACTGATCCCCCCCACAACAAGTGCTACTGATCCCCCACACAAGTGCTACTGATCCCCCACACAAGTGCTTCTGATCCCCCACACAAGTTCTACTTATCCCCCACACAAGTGCTACTGATCCCCCACACAAGTTCTGCTTATCCCCCACACAAGTGCTACTGACCCCCACACAAGTGCTACTGATTCCCCACACAAGTGCTACTGACCCCCCCACACAACAAGTGTTACTGATCCCCCACACAACAAGTGCTACTGATCCCCCCCACACAAATGCTACTGATCCCCCACACAACAAATGCTACTGATCCCCCCACACAAGTGTTACTGATCCCCCACACAACAAGTGCTACTGATCCCCCACACAACAAGCGCTACTGATCCCCCACACAACTTTTTCAGATGTCCAAGGACATTGTATCCATCACCCAAAAGGATGAGCTGTCAAACTTCTCCCTGACCTCAGCACCTGTTTTCTTATACAAGGAGATAGCGCCAGCACAAGACTTTACACACCTGGAAACTCTATGGCATGGGGGCGCAGCTAATTATAAAATGGTTTGTTTCATTACCACAACTAGCTTTATATGGCATGGGGGCGCAGCTAATTATAAAATGGTTTGTTTCATTACAATAACAAGCTTTATGTGGGGGTGGGGGCAGCTAATTATAAAATGGTTTGTTTCATTACCACAACTAGCTTTTTATGGCATGGGGGCGCTGCTAATTATAAAATGGTTTGCTTCATTACCACAACTAGCTTTTTATGGCATGGGGGCGCTGCTAATTATAAAATGGTTTGCTTCATTACCACAACTAGCTTTTTATGGCATGGGGGCGCAGCTAATTATAAAATGGTTTGTTTCATTACCACAACTAGCTTTATATGGCATGGGGGCGCTGCTAATTATAAAATGGTTTGTTTCATTACCACAACTAGCTTTTTATGGCATGGGGGCGCAGCTAATTATAAAATGGTTTGTTTCATTACCACAACTAGCTTTATATGGCATGGGGGCGCTGCTAATTATAAAATGGTTTGTTTCATTACCACAACTAGCTTTTTATGGCATGGGGGCGCTGCTAATTATAAAATGGTTTGTTTCATTACCACAACTAGCTTTTTATGGCATGGGGGCGCTGCTAATTATAAAATGGTTTGTTTCATTACCACAACTAGCTTTTTATGGCATGGGGGCGCTGCTAATTATAAAATGGTTTGTTTCATTACCACAACTAGCTTTTTATGGCATGGGGGCGCTGCTAATTATAAAATGGTTTGTTTCATTACCACAACTAGCTTTTTATGGCATGGGGGCGCTGCTAATTATAAAATGGTTTGTTTCATTACCACAACTAGCTTTTTATGGCATGGGGGCGCTGCTAATTATAAAATGGTTTGTTTCATTACCACAACTAGCTTTTTATGGCATGGGGGCGCTGCTAATTGTAAAATGGTTTGTTTCATTACAATAACAAGCTTTATGTGGGGGTGGGGGCAGCTAATTATAAAATGGTTTGTTTCATTACCACAACTAGCTTTTTATGGCATGGGGGCAGCTAATTATAACATGGTTTGCTTCATTACAACAACTAGCTTTTTATGGCATGGGGGCAGCTAATTATAAAATGGTTTGTTTCATTACCACAACTAGCTTTTTATGGCATGGGGGCAGCTAATTATAACATGGTTTGCTTCATTACAACAACTAGCTTTTTATGGCATGGGGGCGCTGCTAATTATAAAATGGTTTGTTTCATTACCACAACTAGCTTTTTATGGCATGGGGGCGCTGCTAATTATAAAATGGTTTGTTTCATTACAATAACAAGCTTTATGTGGGGGTGGGGGCAGCTAATTATAAAATGGTTTGTTTCATTACCACAACTAGCTTTTTATGGCATGGGGGCAGCTAATTATAACATGGTTTGCTTCATTACAACAACAAGCTTTTTATGGCATGGGGGCGCAGCTAATTATAACATGGTTTGTTTCATTACCACAACTAGCTTTTTATGACATGGGGGCGCAGCTAATTATAAAATGGTTTGTTCCATTACCACAACTAGCTTTTTATGACATGGGGCGCAGCTAATTATAAAATGGTTTGTTCCATTACCACAACTAGCTTTTTATGGCATGGGGGCGCTGCTAATTATAAAATGGTTTGTTTCATTACAATAACAAGCTTTATGTGGGGGTGGGGGCAGCTAATTATAAAATGGTTTGTTCCATTACCACAACTAGCTTTTTATGGCATGGGGGCGCAGCTAATTATAAAATGGTTTGTTCCATTACCACAACTAGCTTTTTATGGCATGGGGGCGCAGCTAATTATAAAATGGTTTGTTCCATTACCACAACTAGCTTTTTATGGCATGGGGGCGCTGCTAATTATAAAATGGTTTGTTCCATTACCACAACTAGCTTTTTATGGCATGGGGGCGCAGCTAATTATAAAATGGTTTGTTCCATTACCACAACTAGCTTTTTATGGCATGGGGGCGCAGCTAATTATAAAATGGTTTGTTCCATTACCACAACTAGCTTTATGTGGCACAGTAGGGGTGGTGGCAGCTAATTATATAATGGTTAGTTTCATTTAACTAGCTGTATATGGCACAGGGGGGGGGGGGGGGGCAGCTAATTATATAATGGTTTGTTTCATTACCATGACTAACTTTAAATGGGATGGGGAGGGGGGGGGGTTCGGCTAATTATAAAATTGTTTATTTCATTACCACTGCTAGCTTTAAATAGCATGGTGGGGGGGGGGGGGGGGCAATTCATTACCACAGCAAGCTGTATATGGCACAGGAGAGGGGGCAGCTAATTATAAAATGATTTTTTTCATTACCATGACTAACTTTATCCTAAACACACAAAATAACAATGAAAATCTTAAGCTTGAAATATTTTTTCTATTTATTTGATATACAAGATTTTGATATATCTTAAACTTGTTTTTTGTTTGATCTTTGGCAGATCACAACCATATTATTAAAAAGTGGGGTGGTAGACCAGTGTATAGAGCGCTGCCAGCAGTACAGAGCTCAAGCTATTGCTGCCTTAGACTGTTTCCAGCACTCGGATGCCAAGTCAGCCCTCATCAATGTGGTCAATGCTGTCAGCAGCCTTAGATAACATCCTCAGGCCATTGTTCCTGCTTAGTGGTGATAAGTAAACAATTGTATTTTAGTTGTTAATTAGTTGAATGTAAGATAGGGAGGTTATCTGAATTGTTTTAAAGTGCAAATTTGAGGCTCTTTTGTTTTTCTTTGGATGGATTTTGAAAAATCACAATCAGACTTGTTTTTTCGACTAGTTTACTGCTGTGCTCAATGTTTTGATATTAGAAAAAAGAAGGTATATTTTTATGTACTAAAATTGTAATATAAATTAACTAACTTAAGAGTAGAAGTTTTCTGCTTAGGAAAATACTTTTTTTTAAATAAAATTTTTAGATTGTATTATGTTCAGGATTGCAAGGATGTTTAATTTTTCTGAATAATTTTATTGTATTTTAAACCTATTGAAATCAAACTCTTTTCTTGTGCTGCAGTTAACTTTTTGCCATAACATAAGACTATGATTGAACTAGGTTTAGCAAAGGACTATGTCCTTTTTTTTCTGGTGCTAGTGTCTTTCCTTGTCATATGTGGGTGGTTAAAATACCGGGTGATATCTTACAATACAGTGATACGTTGAGAAGCTGGGAAAGACTGTTAAAGTATGGTGGATGTGCTGGTAGAGGTTGGTGGATGTGCTGGTAGAGGTTGGTGGATGTGCTGGTAGTTTGGTGGATGTGCTGGTAATTTGGTGGATGTGCTCATAAAGTTTAGTGGATGTGCTGGTAGAGGTTGGTGGATGTGCTGGTAGAGGTTGGTGGATGTGCTGGTAGAGGTTGGTGGATGTGCTGGTAGTTTGGTGGATGTGCTGGTAATTTGGTGGATGTGCTGGTAATTTGGTGGATGTGTTGGTAATTTGGTGGATGTGCTCATAAAGTTTAGTGGATGTGCTGGTAGAGGTTGGTGGATGTGCTGGTAGTTTGGTGGATGTGCTGGTAATTTGGTGGATGTGTTGGTAATTTGGTGGATGTGCTCATAAAGTTTAGTGGATGTGCTGGTAGAGGTTGGTGGATGTGCTGGTAGAGGTTGGTGGATGTGCTGGTAGAGGTTGGTGGATGTGCTGGTAGTTTGGTGAATGTGCTGGTAATTTGGTGGATGTGCTGGTAATTTGGTGGATGTGTTGGTAATTTGGTGGATGTGCTCATAAAGTTTAGTGGATGTGCTGGTAATTTGGTGGATGTGCTGGTAATTTGGTGGATGTGCTGGTAATTTGGTGGATGTGCTGGTAGAGGTTGGTGGATGTGCTGGTAGAGTTAGGTGGATGTGCTGGTAGAGTTTGGTGGATGTGCTGGTAGAGGTTGGTGGATGTGCTGGTAGAGTTAGGTGGATGTGCTGGTAGTTTGGTGGATGTGCTGGTAATTTGGTGGATGTGTTGGTAATTTGGTGGATGTGCTGGTAATTTGGTGGATGTGCTAGTAGAGTTTGGTGGATGTGCTGGTAATTTGGTGGATGTGTTGGTAATTTGGTGGATGTGCTGGTAATTTGGTGGATGTGCTGGTAATTTGGTGGATGTGCTGGTAGAGTTAGGTGGATGTGTTGGTAGAGTTAGGTGGATGTGTTGGTAATTTGGTGGATGTGCTGGTAATTTGGTGGATGTGCTGGTAGAATTTGGTGGATGTGCTAGTAGAGTTTGGTGGATGTGCTGGTAGTTTGGTGGATGTGCTGGTAGTTTGGTGGATGTGCTGGTAGAGTTTGGTGGATGTGCTGGTAGAATTTGGTGGATGTGCTAGTAGAGTTTGGTGGATGTGCTGGTAGAGTTAGGTGGATGTGCTGGTAGAGTTTGGTGGATGTGCTGGTAATTTGGTGGATGTGCTGGTAATTTGGTGGATGTGTTGGTAATTTGGTGGATGTGCTGGTAGAGTTAGGTGGATGTGTTGGTAGAGTTAGGTGGATGTGTTGGTAATTTGGTGGATGTGCTGGTAATTTGGTGGATGTGCTAGTAGAGTTTGGTGGATGTGCTGGTAGTTTGGTGGATGTGCTGGTAGAATTTGGTGGATGTGCTAGTAGAGTTTGGTGGATGTGCTGGTAGAGTTAGGTGGATGTGCTGGTAGAGTTTGGTGGATGTGCTGGTAGAGTTTGGTGGATGTGCTGGTAAAGTTTGGTGGATGTGCTGGTAATTTGGTGGATGTGCTGGTAATTTGGTGGATGTGCTAGTAGAGTTTGGTGGATGTGCTGGTAATTTGGTGGATGTGCTGGTAGTTTGGTGGATGTGCTGGTAGAATTTGGTGGATGTGCTAGTAGAGTTTGGTGGATGTGCTGGTAGAGTTGGGTGGATGTGCTGGTAGAGTTGGGTGGATGTGCTGGTAGAGTTTGTTGATCAGCTGGGAGTTGGTGGATGTGCTGTAATTTGGTGGATGTGCTGGCAGAATATTTCAAGTATTTATACAAAAATGACACTGCTTTTATCAGAAGCTTGTGTTTTGTATAGCCTGGATTAAAGGTTTTAGTAATGAGGTCATACACACTACCAGGGTTGACAACAGAGTTTAAATTTAATGGGTTCGTTCCCCTTTTTCAATCTGATCTCCCTTTATTCTGCTACAAATTTACTTTTGGCTATTGGTGTTTTAAATAAAGTTAAACCTCACGATTTCATCAATTATCAATATGCCTATTGTTATTTGTAGTAGATTAGATTTTATGTGTATGAAATAATCATTTTAAAAACTAATACATTTAATGTGTTATTTTGTTTTCATAAGTATAGAATAACCAGCATGGATGTGTTTGCTGAAGGCTTAAACAAAAATGAATTCTATAATTTGTAAATAATTAAAAGAAATTGCTTTAAGCAATGTTGTTGTGTTCTTTAATTAGTCTTTAGAAACGTTCAGGAAATAACATTTCAGACGGATGCCAAGCTCAACAAATATAACATCTGTCTGGTTAAACAACACCTTGTTTATCACCAAGCTATCATTGACTGGTTCTGTCCATCAAGACGGACCTTGATCAAGTTTCCCTAACCTACAAATGATTCTGACAGTGTCATTCAAATAAGGGGGATGGGAAGAGGAAGAGAGAGAAAAAAAGGGGAGCGAACTACGTCTCGAGTTGGGGAAAAAAAAGCCTCGCAAATATTTCGAGTGTGCCCAGCTGGCGATTAAGATCAATAACTCGCCCTCGATTGTCCCGGTGCACGGCCCGCGACACGCACCAGCCTCGCTAGACGAGTTAACCTCCGGCAGGGGCGGCCACTGTGTCAGGTGGAGCAACACATGTTCCAAGCGCATTAATACGAGAAACGAATTGGATCTAGTCGTTGGATACACAAACAGGCCATATATATATATATACTAGCCGTCCCGGCCAGGCCCTGCTCTGGCTTCTGTGAAAAACCTTCCTGTTAAAGACCATTACCTGTGTGTTTAGTAATCATCATAAACCCGGCATTGCCCACCCAAACCACAACCAACCAAAACCAAAACAACAAAACGCAAACATAACGCTAACACAATTACAAATACAAACGAAAACAAAAACCTAACAACAAACCCAACCACAACCACAAACACCAATACAAACACAAAGAAAAAACAAACAAAAAAGCAAACGAAAACAAAAACCTAACAACAAACCCAACCACAAACACCAATACCAACAAAAAAAAAAAAAAAAACAACGAAAAAGCAAACGAAAACAAACCAAATTCAAACGCAAAACCAACCAAAAACACAAATACAAACCCAAAAAAAAAAAACACAAACAAAAACGAAAAAAGAAAGAACAAAAACGAACCAAATCAAAACGCAACCACTAACGCAAACCCACCTAAACACAAAGAAAACACTAACGCGAACATAAACGCCCGGGGCGGAATCACCTGTTTTAGCTTAAGGAACGACTATAGTACCCCAACTTATTCATAGTCTTTTGCACTCACTTAAACGAACGCGCCTGTTTCAATTTGATGAACAATTTTAATACTCCAAGCTTATCCGTAAAATACCTACAACATTTGCATTTGGTCAATCCCCGCTAATTATGTAATTATTTTTTTTCCCAACACCAAAACAAAGTAATTAAAAAGTAAATTATTTTCACGGAATGCAATGGGTTTATAAAGGGAAGTAATTGTGTTTTTCCTAATTTATCAAAGGGAAGTAAGTGCTATAGGACTAAATAAAGACATAATTAGAATTTTTGTAAAAGATGATATTTTTTTTAAAACTTGTGTTTAATGAACATGTCGACAATTATTACTGTAATTTGAAAAATGAAAATTATTTCCCAACACTTTCAATAGTAATTTTTTAGCTCATAAATTTAGACAAATGCGCACGATAATTTTCTAACACTTAAATTCGTACAATTCCAACGATATACAAATGCATTACATACAGAACTGAGCTTTATATATTAGATATATATATATATATATATATATATATATATATATATATATATATATATATATATATATATATATATATATATATATATATATATATATAGTGAGAGAGATGAGGCATATATATAAGCCTATATATCTGTATATATATGCCTCTCTCTCTATATATACGTATATGGTGAACCATTGGTATATATTGGCATATGAATGTATGTATGTATATATAGACATGTATGTATATATATATATGTATATTATATACATATATATATAAGTATGGAAGAATATACAAATGATGTGTGTATTGTTTTTGTCAGTTTTAATAGTGACGAATTCTAACACAGATCAACACAAACAGCTAGGCTAATGTCAGGGATGTGATTTTTCCGAATTTTAGCGGAAATCCGATTTTTCCGTTTCAGTTGCGATTTTCCTCCGCTGATTTAATTTTCGCCGAATTTTTCCGCCGAGTTCCAATTTTTGTCGATTTTTACGAAGTTTTAAAAATTCGGAAAAAAAAACCGGAAATGTCTTCTACGGAAAGAGCCGACTTGCTCATTCCACTTATTCGTATTTAAATCGACAATTACTGTACTTAAGTCAAACGGACACTCGAATATGCGCATTTCTTTTTGATTGGTCGATTGCGCTAGGTCTGACGATACTAGATCAAGATTAAATGTAGATTAAGAATAAGATGCGGAATTTTCAAAGCACACTTTTTAAGTCCAAATTCTCCGCTGATATTTTCAGTTAACTATTTATCCACTACACGGGAAAAGGTAATCTAAAATAATGCAGTTATTCAAATGAAACTTACATCTCTTAAGCCTGCTAATCTAGCTATCGATATAGCCTAATTTACTTATCGGTATTTTAACCCGCCTAAATCTAGAGTTTCTCTCTGATTGGTTTTATTTCGCAATCTCAAATTAATATTGAAATTCTTGCTAAAGGTGACTACGAGGACTAGACTAACCCGCCCCACCTCGTAGCAACGGTGGCTCTTGTGACCTCACCTTGACCCCAAGCACGTGTTCGGTACTGCTGGTGGAAAAAAAATGACGTCACAGTCAATTTCAAATAGCTGTTTCTGCAATTCGTATGCTTCGTAGGCCTACAGATTAAAACAAAATACTAAACTCAACGTGACTACGACCGTGTCTTGTTTGTGGAAGAAAAGATACGTTCAGACTGTTTTTAAATTTTTAATAAGGGGTCTTCCATTAATAACGTCACCCTGGTAAGATAGTGTAACGTCATATTTTTGTATTTTAAAAAAAGTAATGTTAGAAACAACTGCATTTTAGCCGCTATTAGAAAACTGTTGTAAAATATTGTAATAGAAATTGAATAAAATACCCTATGTTGATTGACCTCAGTCAATATTTTAGAAAAAATCGATGTTTTAAAAAAATTAAAATTAATTTCGGGGAGGGGGGAGCATTTGTTGGCTGAGGTGTGACGTCATTATGGGGTTGGGTGTGTCTGGCTTTTGTAGGAGAGAGGGGAGGTAAATATCGTAAAAAAAAAAACGTGGATGACCCCTAACAATTTACAGCTATTCCAAAATACATAAATATCGATGTGGCTTGGCCATCATAATGATTAACTTTGGTTCACACGTCAGACCCTTTCTAATTTTAGCTAACCTGGTCCATTGCATTTTTGCATCATATGAACCTAAAACTCAACTTGTAACTAATCTTAATCTAGGATCTTTACAGTTGAAGACAAATATTTTTACCAATCCAATCTTTAAAAGAATATAAGGCATTAGGCCCCCTATTTAAAAATTGAAAACATGAGTACATCTAGAATGTACACTAGATTAGTACATTTTAAATTAGCTGAATGGTAAAATAAAACTTAAATGCTACTTTTGTTACATTGTAATTTTTAAAAAGTTGTTTATAAGGTAAACATTAAATTGCAATTAGACAAGACTTTCAATGTTATTTTAGAGTAACATAAACTTCTTGTATTTAAAATATTAACTTCATTAAACAATTAATTAGTACAGTTACAGTATGAAGCTGCTTAACTGCGGTATGAAGCTGATTAACTGCGATAAAAAGTAGATAAACATATTGAGATATTATCCGAAGAAAATTTCCTAATTTTTTTTCCTGGTCTGGTCACATCCCTGTAATGTACTAATAAATGAAGCTCCATATTCGTGTTGTTCTACTCTCCAGTTTGTCCAGATGTCTCCCGCATGTTGGTCTAAACCCCCCCCCCCCCTCCCCCAGTTGAGTTCTCTGCGCGTGCTGGTGTTGATTGAGACCAAAACGTTCAAGGCCGTCTGCTTAAAACTGGCACTTACCATGTGGGCCCCCACCGGGTGAGTGTGGGGGGGGGGAGGGGGAGGGAGGGGTCTTCGTAATGATCTAATAAATATCGCCGTGTTTCCGTGTCGTTTTGACTTTTATTTTAACTTGCCCTTAATGAACGGTTGTGGTTGGTTCAAAATCTCCAAGATGTAAACGTTAGTAAAATAGAGATGTTTCTATATCCCGCCCCTCGTAATGTAACACGTCATCACAAAACACCATCCCCAACCCCTAAACTAAAATATAGTCACGATGCCACCCCCCTCCCCACACAATTAAACAAACAAAAAAATAACCTAATCCTAACACAATTTTTATTATTTGAAAGTCATTTTTCTTTCACAACCCCCCCCCCTCCCTATGGTCATGACGTCATAAACCGACGACCCATTCGGCGACACTACCCCGTTATAACACCCCCCTTCGTATATATTGTATTAACTATCATTAGAAGCGCTGAAAAAGCCTTCACCTACGAGGCTATATTTTCATGATGTCACCGCTTTTAATACTGATAATGAGCTAAAGCCACAGACCGGACCAGGCTAATTAGCCGTCATTAAAGCGCGTGTAATTAATGCCTTCAAGGGTGTATTTCCTGAAGTGTCGTCGGTTTAAACTGCAATCTACTTCATCCAACCGTCTACGTTAGTTTAAAAATGTTTTCTGTCAGTTTAAACTGCAATCAACTTTATCCAACCGTCGACGCTAGTTTTAAAACGTCTGTCAGTTTAAACTGCAATCTACTTAACATATCAATTATATTCGCTTCAAAAGGATATTTTACCTAGACCGTATTTGTTTTAAAGATGCGTTTCTTTGAGCAGGGGTGAACTAGCTGTGCTCAGAGGCCCAGGGAATTTTTAAAGGGACCCCAACGCTTTTTTTTCATAATCAAACAAAGTAAAGCCTGCATTTTACGCCTTGATATGAAGTTCCTGGGGGCCTACCGAGATTTTTTCCCCCTGGAGCCATCTGTCATTCAGGCAGTGATACAATGTCATCTGTCATACAGGCAATGTTACAATGTCATCTATCATACAGGCAGTGCTACAGTGCATCTGTATTATGAAGGCTGACACAAAAGATTATTTCAAAGTAAACAGCGTTTCTTTAAGTCTTTTTTTCCGGGAGGGAGTGGGCACTTGCAGAGACGTAGCGAGGGGGGGGGGGGTACATTTGTCCCCGGGCGCCGACCCTAGGGGTGCCAAAATATGTTGGAAAAAAAATTAAAAGCTCATTTTAGCTGCAGCTTTGCATTATAAATATTAAAAATATATGGGGGGGGGGCGCCAAATTGAAAGTTTGTCCCCGGGCGCCGGGAAGGGTCACTACGCCTCTGGGCATTTGAAACGTTCGAGAGGGGTGGACTACATTTTCCGAGTAAAAGTATAAATTAACTACTTAAATTCTCTTTTGTAATGAGGGGGGGGGAGTCGTGCTTCGTGGGTGCGTTTCCCCCTCCCTCCCCTGAAGAGATGCCTCAAAAAGAAACACTGGTCGCAGTCAAAGCTCCACAAGTCTAGCTCCCATACAGTCAGAAACACACTGACTTTCTGTACTCCACACTGAAGAGGCCACATTTGATCCACTTCTCACAGCTTCAAAGTTTGTTTACATCTCGCTTGCCCTGGGTTGCAGAGTATAATTATCTTCACTACTTCACAGTATGTATCTCTTCCAAGTCAAAATAAAATCTAGGTCTAGAAATTATTGACTTAAAAATACGAGACATTTTTTAAAAAATACTAAAATTCTACACACAGTGGCGTAGCTAGGAATTAGTCATGGGAGGGGTTCAAAAATTTTTCTAAATGTATACAATCCTATATATATATATATATATATATATATATATATATATATATATATATATATATATATATAATATAGGCTACATTTATAGGGGTGAGGGGTCCATGGGAGGGGTTATAATCCCCTAACCCCCCCCCCCCCCCTCTGCCTACGCCACTGTCTACACTCTACACTATAATTTAAGATTTACTCCCAAACCAGTTTAATAAAAAAAAATCCATTTGCCGCAGTAGTCATAAGTCGTAGAGCTACAACCGGAAGTTAAAGTGCCTGTCGGTTTTTTAAAAACATGCCCACGCACTCAGTAGGCCTACATGTCAAAGATATCACAAGTGACATTAGCATGTTTATTTGTCAAAGAGCCCCACCTTTAGAAAAACATAACCTGGGAGGAAGCATGGAGCCAGTAACTAGCCCAAATATCGGTCCACGGAACGTGCTGGTTTTACGTTTTTAAACTTTAAGTAACATTGTGCAGTTTACATACCAATTTATAATTTACAAACACTGGTTTTACTTTTAACTCAGCAAACGTTTTCAGCAAGTGAAAAAAACCAAATTGCATGAAAAAATAATTTAAAAAAAAAACTTCCTACAGACATCTGCTAATCCGTTGAATACAGTGACTACTATTTTCTTCACCTGTACACCACTCCCTCTACACACAAAAAAACGATCCCCCCCCCAGGAAAAATTCGTACACTCCTCTCCCCGTCACAAAACGTGTATACCACTCCCCACCCCCTTAACCACAAAATTCGAACACCCCTCAACATCACCATTACGAAAATTGTACGCCCCTCCACCCGCCATCCAACTCCCCACCACAAAACTCTTAACCCCCCCCCCCCCCATCCCCGACTACAAAAATCGAACAGCCCTTCACTCCAGCACAAAAATCGTTCACCCTCCCCTCACCACCACAAAACTCAAACACCCCTCTCCCCCCCCCCCCCCCCCACACACACTCACCTTTCCTCCACCTATGTCATACCTGTACTGGGATACAACAAAATTTGTTCACCTTCCCCTCCCCACCATAAAAACCCGTTCACACTTCCACACCACCACAAAACTCAAACACCCTCCCCCACACTACCCACACCTTTCCTCCACCTATGTCATACCTGTATGTGGATACAACATCAAAACTTGTTCACCCTCCCCACACCACCACAAAACTCAAACACCCCTCCCCCCACACATCTTTCCTCCACCTATGTCACACCTGTATGTGCGTACAACACAAACCAGGGATTGCTGAAAGTGGCTACACGTTGTATCTGTTAGGAGGTCATCATTACCGTGCTCTTTATTTAGCACACCTAAGAGGCTCGTCTGTGTGATATGCATTTTTTTAAATGTATCCATAAAATTCAATTGTTACACTGTCAACTTTCAAAAGACGTGCATGTTTATTTCCGTCCTTCAAAAGACGTTTATGCTGGGGGTCATTCCTCAGCAGACGTCCGTAAACGTGGTCACTCATGCACCCCCCCCCCGGAGAAATTCACAGCCCCCCCCCCTCCCACGAAAATTTAGTCCGTTTCTCCCCCCCCCCCCCCCCATAATATCAGATGCCCATCCGGAGAAAAAAGTCTGAAAGAAACACTGGTCCATAGCCGTGGTCACTCCTCAGAAGACGCCCATTGCCGTGGTCACTCCTCCAAAGACGTCCACTTCTATACACAAAACAAAAATAATAAACAACCAATAAAAATGTGTAAAGTGTTCAATTTTAAAAATTTTACATAAAATTAAACTTCTAAAAATATTAAAACACGCGGTATGAATGAGAATATTTGTAATTTAATAATTTAAACAGTTTTAAAAGTTTCAACGTTAAGTCCTGTATAATAAGAACCAAGGATCGTGTGTTTGTGTGTGTGACGGGGGGGGGGGGTAACTTTTGTCAAGAGATTGCACTCTATTAACCTTTGTACGAGACCCGGAACTGCCAAGGATTGTGTAAGGGCTGGCGCAATTAACCCGACGCTTGTTGGTTTGATTAATTGGCTGAAATTAAGGGCGAGGTGATGAGAAATGTAACATTAAAAGTACTTCTTTATTTGAATAGAGAACAAATGAAAACCTTAGGTACGATTGGTACAAGAAAAGACGACATGTTTAAAGGTTAAGAATTTATTGCTTTAACTAGCAGAAAAAAGGATTTGAGTTTTCCATATCTATTAAAATAGACGTATATAATCATAGCCATAATCATATTTCATTACTTCGAAAAATCCCTTGCTTTAGTTATTAGTTCATGTACTGACAATCACCAACACAATTTTTAACACAATTTTACTTGTTTTCATTTATTCTTGTTTATCAATAGCATGTTTACTTTGTGAGAATGTGTTTTTCGGCTAGAAGTAAACTTATATTAAAATAAAATTTTACAATGTAAACATTTTTTTGATTAAGTAAAACACAACAAGAAATAAATATTTTAATTTATTTTAATTTACAAAAAAAACGCACTCGTGCTTCGTGACATATAAAAGACAGCAGAGAAGCGAAACACGACTAGCCTAGACCGCTGGTCTGCTTCGCGCATTGATCGATGCGCGCGCTACAAGTTCAGCAGCCCAACTCTAGCGAAGCGAGGTTGTGTTGTGTTTTTTCCTCCACTTTTTAATTTTATTCCTCGCGATAGCAAACTGCAAGAAGGTTATTGACTGTGACGTCGCAGTGTGGCCGCTGTTGACTAATGTCGCTAACCACCGAACCACGCTACGCGTACGGATTTGTCCAAAATTAAACGCACAGTGGAGACTTCTTCGCTGTCATTGTTTTTAACCACTGTTTTCATTAATTTGGATACAAATATCTTAACTGGCAACTTGGATAATAGATCTAGATCTTCTTTTATTTCCATGTACAGATGGATCTCAGTATTTTTTTAAATAGCATTCGTATTATTTGAAGAATTCAAAGGTAGGTTTTTGTTATTTTCATTGGGTTTTTTTTTACAATTACAAAACTTCGACGACTGCTGTGGTTTTGTGCACACATTAAAAATGGTTATTATCAGTTAATTACAATTTAATTATGTATATTCACTAAATTCGTTTATCCTTATGGATTTAAATTCTCCGTACTTTACTAAAAACCCCTGGTCACCTCAACGGTTTTTTTTTTACGCAGACATTAAAAAAAAATCTCAATTATAACATTGCTCTGTGATTGCGAAACTAAGAACCAATATACTTCCCCCCAAAACAAGTCCAACCCCACCCCTAACTCCCCCATATTTTACCCTTCTAAAATAATTTGGCCAGTGAATTCTCTGGTCTTTAGTTTCGATTGCAGCCATTTCCCCATGACGACATAGCCAGCGATATATAGGTCAGTGTCTTCCTTTTTTATTTTATTTTTCTCCAATGGATTCGGCCAACGAAATACCCATCGAATTTTCTAGTTTCTGATTGAGCAATCACGAATCCAATTGTATTCAAGCATTTGAAATTAAAATTTAAAAATAATAATAAATGCAGAAACCGAAGTGTGGTAGTTTGAGGTACTGGATTGGGTTCTGTCTGCCTGTTCGACCAAACAAAACGCTGTTCGATAAATCACAAAAGGTCAGCCGTTGTGAACTGTATTGACGGCTTGACCCACTTTCCTCCATCCAACGGCTTTGGTGTCGGGTGCACCAAATCCCGGACAGTGCCAGCGGAGTTAGGAGCTGGGTGGTGGGGGTGGGGGGGGGTGGTATTATGGGTGGGGTTGGGATGTATTGGAGGATCGTCACTAGTAAGTTAAGTTTCAATAGAATAATCCAGGATGCCCAATTGCCTAACAATTAATTCACTGTGTTTATACAATGTTAATTAATGTATGTCCTTATATGCGTTGAATGTATACTAGTTGATTGACTGCCCTTCCTCTTGGACACACATAAAGATGCTTGTATTACAGCTTGAATTATATACTATGGTTGTTGTGTCTATAAATATATTTTGCTGCTTAGAGAAGTTATATTTCTTGTACATCTTGATGCTAAGACTAGCTTTTGTTTCTACACATCTTGCTGTTTAGACAGTTGTAGTTGTATTGCTCCAGTATTGCTTCTTAGTTTAGGTTATGTGCTGTTAGTATATAAATTTAGCCCATTTTATGCGCATATATATATATATATATATATATATATATATATATATATATATATATATATATATATATATATATATATATACCCGGGGTGATTACCTAATTAATTACCATGTTATTAAAATGGTATATCAACACTAACGCTACTCGATCCTGGAGATTTAAAAATAAACTGATCACCTGTTCCAGCACTACGCTACACACATTTCCCCGTATAACTGTCTCATCGATTTTACCCCGAGCTCACGACTGTATAAAAAAAATTTTTACTCCTGAAAGTGGAACTCGTGGAGAAGATTCGTAAAGAGAAATAATCTTGCAGAGGTGGATAAAGTGGATTGCGTTCAGTTGTGGATGTAATGGATTGAGCTGGTCTGTGGATATAATAGAGTTGCAGAGTTGGATATAGTTGATTGAAGTTCAGAATTGGATATTGTGGATTGCTTTTAGAAGTGGGTTCATTGTGGATGTAATGGATTGAGCTCGGCTGTGGATATAATTTCATATTTCGATAAAGTTGATTGAGTTCAGAATTGGATATTGTGGATTACTTACAGAGGTGGGTTAGTGGATTGGAGTTCATGTGGATGTGTGTTGTTATGACAGACGTCATTGTTGATTGTTGTGGTTCACCTAAGACGTAGGCCTACATCAACACAGCCGAGTTATATAAAAAAAATTTACTCGTCCTTTTCTAAGTGGCGCTTTGTCTTAGAACGGCTAGTTAATTCGGCGTAAAGGGAATTGTTAATCTTTACTGCTAACCTAACCTTTGTCCTGAAGTTCTAGTACCCTAACATAACCGCATTCCCTTTGCTGAATGGTGACATGCGACCTTGCTGTTTGGTTGAAGAGAAAAGAGAAAAAATAATTAAAAACTGCATAACATTTTAGTCATATCTTTAGCAGTCATATAGCCCTATCTTTAGCTATCATATGCCCTATCTTTAGCTGTCATGTAGCCCTATCTTTAGCTGTCATATGCCCTATCTTTAGCATTCATATAGCCCTATCTTTAGCTGTCATATGCCCTATCTTTAGCATTCATATAGCCCTATCTTTAGCTGTCATATAGCCCTATCTTTAACAGTCATGTAGCCCTATCTTTAGCTGTCATATGCCCTATCTTTAGCAGTCATGTAGCCCTATCTTTAGCAGTCATATGCCCTATCTTTAGATGTCATATGCCCTATCTTTAACAGTCATATAGCCCTATCTAGCAGTAATGTAGCCCTTATCTTTAGCAGTCATATAGCCCTATCTTTAGATGTCATATGCCCTATCTTTAACAGTCATATAGCCCTATCTAGTAGTAATGTAGCCCTTATCTTTAGCAGTCATATAGCCCTATCTTTAGCTGTTATATAGCCCTATCTTTAGATGTCATATGCTCTATCTTTAGCAGTCATGTAGCCCTATCTTTAGCTGTCATATGCAATGTTCCCGCTAAGGAGGAAAAGCTAGTGTGCAAAAAGTATTTTCTCTGCGCGCTGTTCAAAAAGTCTTATACCAGGATATATTTATTTTACAATAATTATGATTTAAAAAGTTTTTAAAAACCCACGTTTTCTGATTGAACTAAAAAGTAGAAAATAAATGCTATACATCACAATAATGCAAGCGATCACTCTACTATAAGCGATGAAAAACGTGTGGCGCCGTGATTTTCTTACAGTATCTAATACTGTTGACTCTCTACAAGCTCCCTAATAAAAGTCAATAGTATTATCTAATCAATAGTAATATAACTTTTACTTCGGCGCCCCACGTTTTTCATCGCTTATAGTAGAGTGATCGCTTGCATTATTGTGATGTATAGCATTTATTTTCTACTTTTAGTTCAATCAGAAAACGTGGGTTTTATAAAACTTTTTTAATCATAATTATTTTCTACTTTTTAGTCTTTTGTCTGTTTGTTTGCATTAAAATCTTGTTATAGATTTTATCTTTTCGCATTCACATTTTTTTTGGGTAAACGAAGACAACTCGTAAAAAACACGTGCCTTGAACCCGTGTCGAGTGGGTTAGCAATCGTGTGCCCCACCACTCGACCATATCGTCTCCCCCATACTGGCCGCCAGTTGTTCCGGTTGTTTGTACACAAACACCACGTGAACACTACTCAGTAAGCAAAAAGAGGGAGAGTACCGAACCTTGTTTTCATCAAATTACAATTACTGGGTTATGTCCCTTTTCCCCCACGTTTTTTTAAATAAAAATATAGCGGTCTAAAATGATCAATAAAATGTTTCCATGGATCAATTTAGTAATTTTAACAATTGAATATTCTATTGTCACCGGAAACAAAGCTTCCCTGAAAATTTCAGCGCGCTAGCTAACTGGGAAGTGCCCGAAATTTCGATCGCAAGATTTGATTGGAAAGACGCGAAAGCAAGTTAAAGAAAACGTGGTAAAATCACTGCGCAGCAGCTCAAAACTACTGCGCGGCCGCGCAAACGCGCAGCTTAGAGGGAACACTGGTCATATGCCCTATTTTTAGCAGTCATATAGCCCTATTTTTAGCTGTCATATGCCCTATCTTTAGCACTCATGTATCTTATCTTTAGCAGTCATATAGCCCTATCTTTAGCAGTCATGTAGCCCTCCCTGCACTACAAACTTGTGTGATGAGATAAGCACTCGTATGTAATAATTGCTCATGTCTAATGAGATCACTCAGCTGTGAAGTAAACGAACTCTACGTCATCTGCCCCATGGATTATTATGTCTCAGATTATGAGTATGATTCAGACATTTTTATTTTAATAATCAAATTTAAAAAGGTACACACAGGCTCATAAAATACGTTTTGTTTTCGCAAAACACTTTAATTAAACGCCTTGTTAGTGTATGCATGGGTGGGGGGGGGATTGCCAATTTTATTGTTTAACATCCCATGCCCTAGTTTAACCCGTTCCAAATTTTTAACTATCACTTATCTTGGCGACAAAATATGGACAAATTAAACTAGATTCAGTAACGTACGCTGCGTGGTATACTATAACGGAATAGTAAGACAAAGTATCATACAGCATGAACAGAGAGCGACCTGACTTGATATGCAGACTTTCGTGCGTGCCAAAAACAGCACGCGTTACACACCTCTTGAGCTAAGCCGCTATCTTTTCATCATCCTCTCGTGTGGTCCAATTAAAAGTAAGTTATGTTACGACATTCCCCCAATTAAATCTCTACTTTTCTAGGAACCCATCGTGAGTGCTACGTCGTGTGCAGTCCGTGTGTTTGTTGGGGGTTACCAACAGCCGTCTGCAAAGCTGTACTGTTTGGCGCGGCGAGAAACTACGAGACTTGGCCGGTAGCTATGCCAAAACAAAAATAATAAAAATAAACCGATTGGGGTCACGTGTGAAAGGCCGAGCGAGCGAGAGGGAGGGAGATTTTAAGCGCGCGTAGTAAAACTACTCGGCGCTAGCTAGGGCGTTTTCTACATGGAGCGCCTGTGAACAGAGAGACGAGTTAAAATATTTTGTCTTGTTGCGCGCTGCGGTTTTTTTTTTATCTTTCGTCTCACGAGAGTGCCGCATCGGATAATCCAACCGCGCGCGCATTGCGTAATTTCATGACTGGGTTTTTACACAACCGACAAAGACAGGAGGCTGGGGGGAGGGGGGGGGGAGAGAAAAAAAAAACTAAAGTGGTGAAGATTTTTACTGTTGTAAACATGTTGATTACCTCGCGGACTTGCGTGAGCAAGGTCGAGATGAACAAAAAAAAAATTATTGCAAGAATGGAAGGTCTACGTTTTGTGTCTCCCGATGTTATTCTCAGTTTCTAGAATTATCCATGCATCATCTACTGGGCCT